AGGGATAATTCTACTGGGGTTGCCAGGTGTCCTGTATTCTGACAAGGAGCATTTCTATTTTGGACTTGCACCTTCACTGCTCTGTGTTGCGCTGGCATCCTACTGCTGAGCTGGCGTCCAGGATTGGCTGCCTTTTTGTGGTTGTGTGCCAAGTCTGCCTTGGTGTCAGGTATAAAGATCAACTCTCAGACTGGGGATTGTGGAGATTGGCTCATGGGTGGACTTGGTATATTTTTTTTGTTCTGCTGTTATAGTCAAAATAGAAAGGGGTGTTCCTTCCACAAAGTTTATCTCCATACAGTCATCATTCTTAAAATAATACCTGTAAGTGCACAGCCAAATACTTTGTTTTCTTGGAGCAAACATCTGATTGACCTACTGATATACATATAAGATTTCCTTTGATGACCTAGAAAACTGCTTGGTGTATAAATATCAGTCAAGGGCATCTTAAATGTGAAAAATGTGATTGTATTGAGCCCAAAATAAATCTTTTGAGGATTAGAGTTTCTGTACCACTTAGCAATGCCATAAGAGTGGCATTTATTGGGACAAGAAAAAGGGAGTAAGTTAATAATGACCAACATTTCAATCTAGGTTGGGAATTGTGTGCCTTGCTCAGGTGCTGATGAATTTCCCAATATTCCTCTCATTAGTTTTGCTAACTAGGGCTGATAGATAAAAAATAATAACAGGCTTTTCCACTTACAAAATCCTTAACCATTTTTGATTTTCAGTGGATGAGCATGCTAAATGGCATATTTTTTTCACTTTCTTTACTTCTTGTGATTTCTTTCTTAAAAAAAGAAAAACCCTTTGAATAGTAATTCTGATGGAAACCTGGACCATATGTTGTCATCGTCTTAAGGGAAAGGGAAGGTACTCAATAATTCATGATGGAATGCTACACTACTAAAATCCTTTTTGTGTTCCAAGTGTTTTTAGATGTTTTTTAAATGTGATTGCTACTCCTCTTCTGCTGTCTTTTACCACTTCACCACATTAGATAAAAAAATCTACTTAAAATCTGGTTTCGGCCTCCCGCAGAATTCTGGGGTTTGTAGTTTAGTGAGACTATTAAAGGCTCCTCCCTAAATTACACACCCAGAATTCTGCAGGAAGCGGAATCCGGATTCTAAGTGGATTTTTTCTCTAGTGTGATTAGACTCTGGAGGCGTCCACCAGAGAACACTTCTTTGATCACCTCTTTGTAAATATTCAGTAAAAGTCCTGTGTGATTTAAAAAAAAGAGTAAGCTGAGCAAGTATGTGGATTACAGGATTGGACTAATAGAGACCCAAGTTCAAATTGGCCAGTCATTCTATCTCTCAGAGTGTTGATCTCCCAAATTGACATCAGTAGAGAGATAGGAGCCTTGCAAAACCAACCTTCACCAACTTTTTGGCATTTCACTTTCTGACAACTCATTATTTCAATAGCTAGAGACAAGTTCCATTAATTTTATGAGGGGTCTGCTCTTTTGTTAGTTCTTCTTGCATACAAGGCTCACTTGGGACAGCTTGCACACACATGCACAGTCCCAGTACTTGCCTACGGTCAGAATTGACCATTCCTGTAATCACTTTTGAATACATACACAAACTTTTTCAGTTTGATCGCACATTCAAAAGCTAAAATAATCTGTGTTCCAATTCTCAATCAATTCCACTTTCTGATAGCATTCTGGTCCCTCACATATCAGATGTGGAGCCTTCCTGCATTGTACCAAACATCTTAGGAATGATAGGGAAAAATGTCAAAAATGTTCATTGCTAGACTGTCTCAAGCTGCTTTTTACCATTAGTACATTGATTGCTGTAGCTCAAGAATGGACGTTCCTGGGTTTCAGGCTTGGAGTATTTCCCATCCCTACCTGGTGCTAATAGAGTTTGCCTCAGGGGGCAAAGCTTGGTATATGCCACCACTGAGCTACTATCCCCTTCAGTGCTGAGGAGACCATTAGCTTCTTCCATAGCCTGCCGTACAGACGAGCATAGGAAATGACATTCAGGATGAATGAAACTCTTGTTCCATCTAACCCAGTGATGTTGACTTTGGCTAGCAGTTGCTGTCCAGAGTTTCAGGCAGAATTCTTTCCTAGCCCTTTCTGAAGATGCCAGGAACTGAGTCCTGTTCCTTTTGCGTGCAAAAGAGGTGCTACCTCTGAGCTGTGGCTCCGCCCTGTAGAATATTCTCTTCGGGTTTTCCCATTGTCCATTTGCTCTCGGTCTCGGCATTACTTTTGAGATGATTCCCAGTGTGTTTGACTGTCCCAGAAGCAATGAGGTTGCATATCCTCCCCTGAGAAATGAAAGTGCTAATAACTTTTGGAGGTATTTAGTTTGAAGTGTTGTGTCAGATAGTACAGTAGTTTGGGAAAAAAGCACCTCCTATATTTTTCGTACATTGATGAATATAGCTGCATTGCTGAAGGCTATTTGAATGATTTTTTAAATCCTTATTTGGAAACCACAGTTTTGAAAGGCAGGTTTAAAAAATAAAAATAATGCGTAAACAGTTTGCCCTTTGTTTCTGATTCAGCTGTAAGGCTGGTACATGCACGACTTTATAGTATGTGGTGTTTTTTGTTTGGAGAGAAGAGAGAAAAATATATAATTTCTAAATACTGCCTTGAGGGAAATTGCAGAACGTTCTCCATATGGTTTTACTTGGGATCAGAGGGAAACGTGCAAGGAAGTCAGACAGTAGGTGTTTGTGAATCATGCAGAAGCAGGGGTAGCTGTATTGACGTAGGAATTCATGCTTGTTTGTGTGTGAACACATGTAAATGGGTCTCTCTATATATGACAATAATTATGTGTTGACAATCTAATTAGATGACATAGGTAAGATTTGTATTCTTTGTAGGCCTACGTAGATATATCTGTCCATATGTTAAAAACAACCCTGTAATTTTCTCTCAATAGCACATTTCAGTTCTATTCGAAAGAATATAGAACCGAGTTTGTTTAAGGAATGGACACTTAGCAACTATAGGTAGCAATCTGCAGACATAAACATGCTAGTGGTATTCTTGCTTTGCTGAGTATACATGTGTTACAACTTGAAAACCACTGCTGTTCCCTCTGAAAGACTGTTAAACTTCTATAATCCATGTGGTTTCTTTTGTGATCTGAGCCATAAAATTTGATTGTGGTAAAAGTATCCACATCAAACACTTTAGGGTCTCATTGTGGGCACTTGCCACGTGTGCCTTGTGAAGGAAGGAAGAGGTGCCCCTTTGTATTTTCTTTGACTTAGAAACACTTTTTAATTGTAAATTATAATTGTAAGACAAACATCTGGAGTAGGAAGATCATTCTAAATTTAGGTATTAGTGACAGAATTTTAAGGCAATAAAATTTTGTCTTAGAATTGTGGCAAGTAGGGTATTCTGTTGTATGCTTTATGTCCTCTCGGGGAGATAAAGCCAAATATAAATAAAGATTATTATTATTATTATTATTATTATTATTATTATTATTATTATTATTATAAACACAACAAGATGAGTACACGGCAAACAAGATCACTGTGATGGCTGTTGTATTGGATCACACATCAGACACTTTCCAAGTGTCTAGGGCTGCGTTGGTGAATAATGTGTGCAAATCTGAGTAAGGTGGCCTTCTGCAGCTGACAGGTGGTGATTTTTTTAGCGCCAATTGTGTTTAAGGGCAGGCCAAGCTCTTTAGGCACTGCACCCAGTGTGCCAATCACCATTGGGGCCACCTTCATTGGCTTGTGCCAGAGTCTTTGCAGTTGGATCTTTAAATCCTTATATTGGGTCATCTTTTCCAGTTGTTTCTCTTCAATCCTGCTCTTGTCCGGGATTGCAACATCAACGATCCATACTTGGTTTTTTAACACGATCATGAAGTCAGGAGTATTGTGCTCCAAAACTCTGTCCGTCTGAATTCAGAAGTCCCAGAGTAGTTTGACATTTTTATTGACATTATTATTATTATTATTATCATCATCATCATCATCATCATCATCATCATCATCATCATCATCTTCCACGGTAAATTTTTACTAGTAGCATAAACATGAATTTGAATTTTCAGCTATTTAATTATTTTTAAAAACAACTAAATCTTAAACATCTTTAGATAAGGATGTGTTAGATAATTATGGCTTGGGCATATGCTTCAGCCATGGTGACCTTTTCTGTCTCTCATCAAATATTAAAAACTTACATATTTACTGGAGTGTTGCCTTTCATGCCCATGGCCATGTATGTAGTAGCTTTAAGTTTTTGTATTTCTCTTTGCACATTTGGCAGGTCCAGCATTTTTATGGATGACTGTTGGAAGAGAGTTTAAAGGAATAGTCCTTGTTCAACCAGGGCCTGGTAGAGATTCTTCCCATCTGTGGTCTCCTACTTTTCCCCCTTGTGCTCTGCCAATTGGCTGCCTTATGTAATGATACTCAGTGGCCTTCATTGGCAACAAAATTGTGAGGGAGGGATAAAGTCTAAAATGTTTTAAATTGTTTTGAGTCATTTTCATTCTCCAAAACTCACTCTACACACCCAGCATGGAACACAATACTTTCACGACCTTTCCAATGCTTTTAGCTTTTGTTTTAAATGAAACACGTTTATTGTTTTCGACTGCCTTCAGACTGTTTCTGACTCACAGTGCTCTGAGGTGAACTTCCGACAAGGGTTTTTAAAATCAAGATTTGTTCAAAGGGGGCTAGTTTGGCTTCCAATGAGACTGAGAGAGTTTGACAGAAGATTCAGACCCTGGTCTCCAGAACCTGGTCTCCAGACCTTGGTCTCCAGAGCCATAGTCCACTGCTCAGAACACTCCAGCATTGGTTCTTTGATTCATCATCAGCTGCATTGTCATTATTTTGTGTTAGTAGTAAATTTGTTTTAAAACTTCTATTATTTGACATTCTCCATCTCTTTTTTAGACATGTGTGGACTCTCCAATTATGTGAACTCACAGTTTTGAAAAGGTTTACATGCTTTCTTCTTCTTTTCTTCCCAGGTTTATAACTCAAACAAAGACAACCAAACAGAAGGCAGTAAGTAACATATTTTCCCCTCTCTAAATAAGAGTAAATTGTTTAGGGAGTGATTTGGATTTAATGTCTTTCATAAGCCAGTAGGTGGTGCTCCAAGTAATTTAGTCATTTAACTACATTTGGTGTTCTAACTTGATGGCAAGTTTTGATACTCTGAAGATCTAACCTTCAAGCAGTTTTCACAGTGACATCAAAGCAAGCAGTGGAAGGTAACAGTTCTGTAACTAACAATGTAATGAGATAGTTAAATATTAAGAAAAAGAGCACTCTGGTTTAAGATGCTGAGTTACTGCAAGTGAACATCTTGGATGCAACCCAAGAGTTGCAGAGTGCTGAAGCTGGCTCTGTTGCAAATTTTTTGTTTCCTTTGGCAATTTACTTAACGGCCTTTTGTCTTGGTTTACACAACCCAGGCACAGAAGTTTACAGAAGGGAAGCAAGAAAGAGAACTAACGTTTTTCTAAATCTTAGTTCCTTCTTTTACCTTCCTTTAAATGATGATTAATAGGAGAATTCAGTGCTCAAAAAAGTTTATCAAAATCATGAGCCAGTCCCTGGAATCTCCTCAAGGAGATCAAAGATTGGCATAAAAGACTTTTTGTACATGAAGTAGCACTATTTAAACATTTTCCTCCTTTGGCCTCAAGTGTTGGACAAACCAAAGAAGGGGATGTGGTAGTTTCACTGGACAACTTGAACACCCTCCCACTGCTGTTTAAATTCCAGTCTGTTTCCAAGTAGCTGACCAGCTTGCAAATGCTTGTGTGGCTCAAGTTTTTTGTTCCCTTATGCTATATGGTTATACTACAGCAATCCTGTCTGTCCAGTAGGGTGCCCATATTATAAAGTTATGGGGTTTCCTTTTACATGACTATTGGTGGGTGGACCTCTTATTCAGTGTGCAAACCTAGAAATATTAGGAATGATTGTTTGAAGGAGGGGGGAAGAAAATAATCCTGTTGCTCCTTCTGCCCCTTTTTAAAGTGGACAGCCCTCAGTCAAATCAGTCATGAGCTCATCATTCCTTATCTTGCAGAGGAAACCCAGACGGTGGTGTGTGTATATAAATAGAATGTTGTCCCTAGTAAATTTGAGAAGCAGCATAAACTCTTTCAGCTGTTAGGTCACTCCGGCAGACAGAACACTATACGTAGCTCAGCTTCCTTTCCTACGCAGTGCTGAGAAATGGCACATAATTTTAAACCCACACTTTCCTTCCCTAGATCTCCTCTCTGCTCCTCAGCACAAGATTTACATACCTGTCATCTCCTTAATTGAATCAGTGAATGATACACGGTGGTGCAATTAGAAGCAATAACACCTCAAGAGGATGCAAGATTCTGTCAACTCAGTCTTCCTGAGATATTTTCTCCTCCCTGTCATAAATTCACTGTCACTTGTGTTGAATAGTGAATTATATGTGACAGAGCCATTCAACAGAATTGTGTTAGCAGCTAGGCCTTTTGGCTAGCAGGTAGAATAATTGGCTAGTTTAGTACTTCACAGCCATCCAGAATCTTGAGGACAATTGCTGGGTTCTTTCCTCATAATATTAGGACCCCCCAACCATTCTCTGAATGGTGGGTATAATGGATGTACAGGTTGGTGTACAGGAAGTAGCAGGCCTGCTTGGAAAACTAAGTAGAGCAAGGGGAGGAGAGATCAGGCAGCTTCATAACTGGAAGTGCAGTCTGATTGGCTGATGAAATTGGAGGGAGTTGCTTAGCAATCAGAGATGGGTGGAGCCAGAGGGAAAGAAGAAGCTAAGGCAGCCATAGTTTGTCAGTTTTGGACTTTGGAGTTGAACGTTAGTTAGGAGATTTGAAGAGGAAGGAAGAAAGGAAGAGTTTGGGTACTGTTAATTAGAAAGATACCTCTTTGAGGAAAGTAATTAAAGCCTTCAGGGAGAAGGAGAAGAAGTATTAGTGAGCCTCTGTAGTTTTTGAGTGCTAGTGTGGAAAGAGGAGCGAAAAGGTTTAAAACAACCGGTTTGTATTCCTGTGTGTGGAACATTGTTTTTTAAGAAACTCAAGATACAAATCCATTTTCTGTAAAAGAGAAACCTGGCAGTTTATTGAAACCATTACACATTTTTACTGTTCAAGAACAAAATAAACATCATATTCTTGTTTTATTTCACCCGAGGAGTTTGTGTGTCTTCTTGAGCATTTTAGTGAAGGAGGTGGCCTGTGGAACAATAAATGGTGGCAGCAAAAGAAACCTTATTAATAAGTTGGTGGCACGAAATAAATATATAATATACAGTGGTAACATCCCACTGTCCTGTCTTGTGTGTGTGAGAGAGGGTGCCTTGTGTCCCTCTCAGCCTACAGTCGGCCTTGTCGTCTTTATTGCAGTGGGAATAGGATAGTACTCACATCTGGCGGATAGACTTCCTATAGCTAATAGACTCTTCAGTGTGCAAACCGAATGTTGTTCCAGATAGACATATGATCTGATCCAGTATTTCTCTTCTTGTGTTCTTATGACTAGTTGTAGAGCAGGAATGGGTTGCTCTAATGGGGATTCGTTTTTTTGCCCCTGTATCACCACGAATGCTTGGCAGATCATGCTATATAATTTATGGGAATGGTAGGCTTTCTTTTTCGTTTTTTAAAATAAATATTTGTTAATCTTGACTGATTTTGACCTTTGGGAGGCAGTTGGAGGGTTGTGTGATTTAAATAAATCCATATAATTATTCTTGGAGCAGTTTTGCAGCACTTTGGGTGCTGAGTTTGAAAAACAAAATTGGGAGAATGTCTGAATATCTGATGGCTTCTAGGTAACTTGAGGCTGCAAGAAGCTCACACGCTAAATTTTGCCCATTCCAGTTATAGGTTTACAATCTCTTCCTTGTTGAGGGAGAGGTGAGCTACAAAGAATCATTCATAAGAACAGCAGCACCAGCCTATCAGCATGCTTGTGTTGTCTCATGTTATCTAAGGTTTTTAATCGCTAGCTTTTTTATTTTAAAAAAGGAAATATTTGTTACTTAATTCACCGATCTCTGCCATTTAACTGATAGCAAAGTGGTTGGTTTTATCTTTGCTCCCTCTTCTTTGTACGGGAAGTCATATGAGTCTTCATCACTTATCAACACATTCTTTGTGTGGGTCCTTATATGATTTATGAAGCGATAAGCAAATTTCTGTGCACTCAGTTAGATGCTGAATCCTTCACCAACACTCCACAGCTTCTGATTTCACTGCGCTGACAGTTTGTACCTGAATGTTTACGCAGAATGACCCAGAACTAGCTGTGAGAGGCCCGGGAGATAGTGTCAGTTGTCTATAGGAGGAACATGTGAGTTCTATAAAAGGTTGCAGCAGAAGGCCTAGTCTTTAGCCTGTACCACAGAGCAGTTGCTCAGACAGAACCAACTGATATGTGATCATCCTATTCTAGGAGAATAGGAATTAGACACATTTACTGTTGTTTGAAACAACTTTTTTACACACATCTCATTCAAGGGTTTCAAGGGTTTATAAATGGTTTTAAGGAAGCAGATATTTTTGGGTCTATTCCCAGTTTTGATCTTTCTGACCAATAATGCCTATATAACTTTTTCTTTAATGTCTGTCTTTCTCAAGGCCTCCAGAGATGTAGTTTCCAAAGCAATGATGGGCAAATGTGTCCATTTTATAGAAATACATCAATGATTCTGCTGCTTACTTCTGATAGGGTTTGCAATTCAGCAACACCTGGAGGACTGCATTTACCTGCTCTTGCTTTAAAGGAACACCACCATCACCCTTTTCTGAATGCACAGTTCTGCAAAGAGATCATCTTATATGTTAGCGTGCATAGATTTGGTAGCATCATTCCAAACTGTCCACCAATTCAAAGATCTATATGCAATGACCAGTTAAGATCATTTTAAATAGATAAGTACATGAGGAAAAATACAAATTTAAAAATGTTTTTTTTAGTTAGAGGCACGAGCACAGGAAAGTTGCAAGGCTGTGTGCATGAAATCATAAATCATTAGAAAGAGGCATGTGTTCTAAATGTTGTTTAATGTAGCTTGATGTAAAATGCATCAGCTAAGCAACCTTGCCACTACTAATTTGTAGACTGTCACAGTTAATGTCAACTGTTCTTTGTTTTGGTCTGTTTCATATATTGTATGCTAAAATGGATGAAGAAGCACAACTCTAATCCATAGACATAGTTTGCGGAAGGGGATTAGGATTAGGAAGTGATTAGGAAGCAAAACACATTGAGTTGCCGAAGGCTTTCATGGCCAGAATCACTGGATTGCTGTGAGTTTTTTGCTCTATGGCTATGTTCCAGTAACATTTTCTCCTGACATTTCATCGGCATCTTGGTAAGCATCCTTAGAGGTTGTTTGGAGGTCTGAACAAACCTCCGAAGATGCTTGCTATAGATGCAGGCAATACATCAGGAGATAATACTACTAAAACATAGCCACACAGCCTGAAAAACTCACAGCAACCCAAAACACATTGACTTACATGGATCTAGGATACAGAGGTGAAAAAAACAGCAGTCAAGCCCAACAGGGTTCCCTTTGTTAAATTGCTCTATATACAGGTATTGATGCTTCTTCACATCTAAGAACAGTTCTCTTTCCTGTGTCAAGGGGCAACTTGAATGTGAGATTATTGCTTCCCAGAGACAACAGGCCCAAAATGGAGCAATCTGGAGGCAGGGTGAATGTTGTGGTTGGTGCAATTTGTCCCAATTCCCTATTGCTAGAGCCTGGGGGATTTTCCATCTCATATGAATGGTTGGGCGAAAACATAATTGAATATCAACCCAGCACTGGTAATGGGGGTTGTCCTGCCTCTTGAGTGAGGCTATAGATCTGATGCTTTATCCCTTTCCAGTCTCTCTGGGTTGCGGTGCATGGTGTTACTTAAGTAGTATGAAATTGCATTCTTTTGTTGTTCAGATTGTAATCATCATTGGGAAACGAGTGGAGCAGGACATTGGATTCTTACTTTCTGGAAATCTTATTCAGGCACCTTATTTCTATATCTTATGGTCCCTGTTTACCTGAACACTTTCAAGTTTATTTTCCAAATTTTGAAGTGGAAGCAGTTGCTGGGTTATACAGAGGATCCATCCATCTACAGTTTATAACTGCCATCAGCTTCCTCCGAATGCTGCCATGTGTGTTGTGACAATTATGGCAATCCCAGTTCCTTTCTTACCCCAAGCATCTGTTTTGTAGGGCATTCAAAAGGGCTGCGGTGGCACAAAAAGAAATACTAGTTGACTAGCAATTTTCTGCCTGTATGGTCACCGTGTGGGCAGAAAAAAAACCTTTAGGAATTTCCTGAATCTTGGTGGAAGAATTCTTGCAGAAAATAAGAAATCATGAAGCATATTTTTGGAAAGTGCTTTATGAGCTCTTCATGCAAGGATGTGTTTACTGTCATGTTGGCAGAGAATTTTAGAATGTACAAGCCTCTAAAAGATATGTCACTATAATCTATCATGTTTGCCACACACCGTGAATATTACATTTGTTCAGTTGCAGTACCAAGATGTCAGCTTCTATTCACTACACTTCTGATCTTCAGCAGACTGTTCCTCCCTTTAGAGACCATCTTCCCATGGAATAAGAAGATCATTGGTGTCTTGCTTGTTTTCAATTATTCTAAATGATAATTCTCTTTAAAATCTTCTCGTAAAGACATATCCATGAAACCCAGAGTCTAGTGGAGGGTTCAATTGATCAGATGTGAACCACAACCACAGTTCATGATTGATGTACCCTTTTGGATATTGCACTTGGATGTGGTAGATTATAAAATGGTTTGTGGGAATTGGTCCTATGATATTGCAGCAAATAATAAGCACGATTTCTCTGGTTCTTCTAAGATATTGTTTCACCTTGCTTTTGTAGTTAATCTTTTGTTGATTTGTAAAAACATCTTTTATTTGCAAAGGCAACAATTGGGTGGCTTCTTTTTCTTACCTAAATTTAAAGGAGACAATTTTCAATAACAGAAGGTTAATGGTAGGTAACATTCTGATTTGAAGCAGACAGGTGTTATATTATTCCTTGAGGGATCTGGAGTGTAAACATGTCTTCTACTTATTGTCTCATTTAAATTAAATTTGAAGAAGTGTGCCAATGTAACTTAATTGAGTCTTATTATTCCCTTAGTAAGAATGTTTTCATTCTTAATCCAGAATTCATTTGCATGCCTTCAGGATATTTCAATTTCCATGGAATAGGTGTTTAATTCAGCATGGATCATGAGTCACGATGGAAATCTACAAAGGAAATGAATGAAAAGAGCTGTAGAGTGTTGTCCACTGCTATACAATTCTTGTATAGGAGAGTAACAAACAGCAGCACTGACTGAAAAGCGTTACCATGACGTTACTCCCAAATTACCCATTTTCATTCGTTGTTTTTGTGTGGGATATCACACCACAGCTGCTCTTATGAAGGCACTTCCAGGAGGATGGTGTTGTAACTCTATATGCCTTTTTGCCTCTTCTGTGGCTGAAAGACCTCATCTCTGGGCTTTGTACCATGATTTTCTTCCCATTAAAAACATTTCCATTTCTTTCTGCTCTCCTTACTAATTGTTGTGACCCTACTAAACTTGTCTTTCTAAGGGTATAGCTAGCCTTCTGATGTGTCTTTTCTTTCTAAATTTCAGATATGCATTAGCAGACAAGTTGAATCCTTAAAAAAATCTTGACCTTGATGTTAGACTATTAGATAGATTACTTTAGATTTCTTCAAGTTAAATCAATGTATAAATGGCATATCTGGGAGCCTAATGTTTTGTGCCTTGAAATGAATAAATAATATGTAATCACATTGGCTTTACTTCATTGGGTAAATATTTACATTGTCACTGTTGGATCCTGAGTTTATTATCCTTGCAGGAATGAATATTGACAGAATTCCTCTGATGGCTGATCAGAGTGGAAGTGGAGGTGTAGATTTTTATTTATCCGTTCTTCTCCCTGCAGTCTCAAGTACCATATTTTTTAGTGTTTTGTAGAGTCCACCAACCTTCAAAATAAATAAATAATAAAACTTTATTTATAGACCGCCCTCTCCCCCCGAGGGGACTTGGTGGTTTACAACACAAAAAGGCAAACATTCAGTGCTCGAACAAATGCATAATAATAATAATAATAATAATAATAATAATAATAATAATAATAATTACAATAGTGCAATATAATAAATATAAAAATGACAGTGAACTTATTATATAAAAATGGATGTCAAAATGAAAAACAAGATACAAATAATCAACCTTTGAGTCCCCACATGTTTTGGCCTTCACCTCCCAGAAATCCTAACAGTTGATACACTGGCTAGGATTTCTGGGAGTTGTATGACAAAACACCTGGGGGGCCACAGGTTGAGAACCACTGATCTAGAGGGTCTTAGTCCTCCTCCTCTCCATATGCCAAAGTGCAAAGGTTTTTTTAAAGGAGAGGAGGGTGGGGGTTGTTTTTATTTCTTTGTGGAGGGAGTTCCAGGGATGGGTAACAATCACGGAGAAAGCCCCCTCTCTCTTTCCCACCAAGTGAGCTTGATGGGGGTAGGACAGAGGAGGCATAGTCTGGGATGGTCTATATGGGGAGATGTGATTGGACAAATAGCCTGGGCTCAAACTGTTTAGGGGTTTATAGGTAATGATCAGCACTTTGTATTTAGCTCAGAAGCAGACCAGCAGCCAGTGGAGCTGCTGCAACATGGAAATAGTTCTCTCCCAGTTAGTAACCTGGCTGCTGATCTCTGACAGGATTTGATTGACGGCGTGCTCTTGTACAAACCTGCCTGGGCGTTGAGATCTTCAGGAGAGTCCCTTCTCTCTGTCCCACCTCCATCTCAAGCTCAGGCGGTGGGAACGAGAGAGAGGGCCTTCTCAGTGGTTGCCTCTTGACTCTGAAACTCCCTACCCAGGGAAGCCAGAATGGCCCCCTTCCTGCGGTACTTTCTGTGGCAGGCTAAAATCTTTTTATTCAGGCAGGCTTTTAAAGGTGAAGGTGTTTAAGATCAATTCAGGGGGTGTCTGGTTTTTAACCTTAAATTTGTTTTAATGGTTTTTAACTGGCATTTTAAAAATACTGTTTATATTTAATCATTAAGCTGGACCTTAGGGAAGGCTGAGCGAAGGAAGATCGATGCTTTTGAGTTGTGGTGTTGGAGGAAAGTTCTGAGAGTGCCTTGGACTGCGAGAAGATCCAACCAGTCCATCCTCCAGGAAATAAAGCCCGGCTGCTCATTGGAGGGAAGGATACTAGAGACAAAGTTGAAGTACTTTGGCCACATCATGAGGAGACAGGAAAGCCTAGAGAAGACAATTATGCTGGGGAAAGTGGAAGGCAAAAGGAAGAGGGGCCGACCAAGGGCAAGATGGATGGATGGCATCCTTGAAGTGACTGGACTGACCTTGAAGGAGCTGGGGGTGGTGACGGCCGACAGGGGGCTCTGGCGTGGGCTGGTCCATGAGGTCACAAAGAGTCGGAGACGACTGAACGAATGAACAACAACAACATTTAATCATATTTTAACATTGGTATATTTGTATATTTTAAATGGATACAACGATACTTTGTGTTTCCTTTGGGGGAGATAAAGCGGGGTAGAAATAATAATAATAATAATAATAATAATAATAATAATAATAATAATAAAATAATAATAATAAATTTGGAAGGATACAAGACCCTGCCGGAGATGAGTAGAATCAATAAAGATCCTATTTTCTACCAGAAGAAAGTGAGGGATTTTAAATTCAGGAGAACCTTTGTCCTGAATTCCATTTTGCATCAGGGAAGTCTATGTTTGAACAGGTTTTAAAATTCTGTGTTTGGAATAAAATTTATTTAGAGGAATGGTTTGGTTTTCTGCATTTTAATCAATGTGTTACTCTTATGTACACTTTTTAAAAAAAGAGTGGCATAGCATTCCTTAGATCCTATTTGCAAAAGGTAATCCCCTTTCCAATATTGCTCACTGTCAAATTATTCCTATTTTTATTTGAAAAGCTTTTACTTGTTTTCTTTATTTTTAGCTGCCCAGTTGGATAATATGGGCTTTAGCATTGTGAAGAAATGCATCCATGCTGTGGAAACAAGAGGTATGCTATTATCTCAGATGTTCTTCTTCCTGAGCTGAAGTTCTGGATCTGTTTAGAAGGCCAAAATAGGAGGAAGAGATTAGGTATTTGTGTGAATTATGCTCTGAATATACCCAGCTGGAAGCCTTTTAATGGGAATGTCATTCTTTGCTTTTTCAAAACACACATTGAGTAATTTTAGCAATTTCCTTCCCATTGTAAGAAAGTCTTTGAAAACTGCAGTTTTCAAAATCTTTTTGCAGTTCAAGACCTGTTTGCAGTTTAGGACTGAGTTTTCTGTACAAAAATACCGCCTGCAAATATTGCACAATGTAAGTCTTGAACTTCAAGAAGCCGTTCACTGACCAGAACAGATCAGAAACATATTTCTGGTCAGAAATGTTATTTTTTGCACAGAAAATACTGTTCTCTGCTGAGAAAAGTATCACCTTCTATGCAAAAGTACACTTTACAAATATTACGCAGTATAAATCTTAAACTACAAAGATTTTTGTTAATTCAAGATTTTACTTATTTCATTTTCTAACACCCAAGAACCATGTTTTTCAACCACTTTTGTAAAAAAAATTGGCATATTCTTACCATTTGTAGTCTGATTTCATTCAACTTTATAGCATTGCATAGTTCTCTGCAAACTGTTAACACTTCTTATGCGACAGTCTTAAAGCTACCAGCCATACACCTACATTTGATGGCAATTGCCACGTTCTAGCTTAAACCTACACATAAGTGGGAAAACAGATGTACATACAGCAGCCTCTGTTCTACAGGTTGTAGATATTACCTTATTGAAAATGCGATTTTCGAATTGATCACATCAATTCCCAAAGCCTTGGTTGAACCTAACCTGGAAGATACCTCATTTAATGAATTTATTGTCAGTCTTCCATCTACATAAGAATTTTTTCTAAGAAATGTTTAGATGAGTCTACGAAAATGTAACACCATTGGGTTATTGTTTGCAAATCCCTTCCCATATTAACTTCTGTGTTTTTCTGTGGCTTTGTAAAAGAATTCTTCAGTTATATTTCAGATAATATTAGTACAAGTCTCCTTCTCTCATTCATTCTAAACCAGTGACACAGATTGATGTCATTTTAAAGATGGTTGTTTTAACAGTGGCTTGATCTACACTGCCACATAATGCACTTTTGAACTGCATTGTATGGCAATGTAGAGCTAGGCAGTGTTGGTCTTTTTTCAAATTGTATGTTAAATAAAGCAAGTAAAATTCTGCCTTTAATGATTTTTATTATCCAGCCATGAAATCACATTGCTAGTATTTTATCTGCTTTGCTACTTATTAAGATCCTGTTATTGGTTGATGTGAGGAAAGAGTTATCTTTTCTTGAATTTCTGTGCTGGACAATAATGCATAACTCATATCCTGAAATCCAGGTATCTAAACAGAAAGGAAGCCTACGCTGTTATGTTTTTGCTCAATCTGAAATTTTTGTAGCATGTATCAACCTTTGAGGAAGACTCAGTGCAGGTCTATGAAATACCTTTATTTTTTTAAAAGAAAGGAATCATTATATTTCTTTCAGACAGTTCTCCAAATTAAATAAAATTACTTTCTTTCCTAGGGATCAATGAACAAGGATTATACAGAATAGTTGGTGTCAACTCTCGAGTTCAGAGGCTGTTGAGTATCTTAATGGGTAAGTACATTTTGACATTGACAGCCATATTGTTTTTCTTTGGTGGTACCCATTGTGCTTATAGGTATATTTGAGAGAGAATTAATTAATTTCAGCCTAATCTAGGCTGAAAAATGCGGTATAGAAGTAAAGCAAATAAATAAATAAATAATAAATAAATGGAAACCTGCTGATGTGAACTTACTTCTTGGACAAGAATGGGGGATTCATTTGTGGCATGTGGATATTGTGCACAACCTTCAATCTACTGTAGAAACCACTTACTAGAAACAGAAGAATCTTTTAACGAACTGATGTCTGAGATATTTGATTAAGTTTTTTTTCTTGACATAATTTCATAGCTTCCCCCATCCTCTCCCCACTTTGCATGTATGCATGCATATGCATGTACAGTCTCCACTCCACGGCTTTCCAAAATTTGAAAACAGTTCTTCTGTATAGCAGGCTTCCTCTTAGGAGTTCAGAGCAAATATTAGGCTTTCATTCCCCAGCTGTGTGAGTGAGATGAGAATGTGAGATACAGATTTGCCCAAGGCCATTTAGTGAGTTTTCCAATCAATTTCTTTGATCATGAATCTCTTTGTTCATTATGAATCGTCAGCCTTTTCCTCACTGTAATGGTACTAGCAGTAGTTTATTTTACAGAAATGCTGAAGTATTGGAAGGAAAAAGAGGTGATTTTATTGGCAGTGTCAGTCTTGGTAAGCACTTGGATGGAAGACCGGCAAACTGAAACCAGGTGCTGTAGGCTATATTTCAGAGGAAGGAACCAGGAAAACATCTTGTTAAGTTCACATACACACACTCATACAATATTTGTAGACTTCTTTGAATCTGTATCACATTCTCTAAAGTCGTGGTAGATAAAAATATGTAAAAATGACTTTAAGACATCTTGACAGAAAAGATGGGATAACTGTGGTGGAGTATGCATTGTAGTGAGATGAAACAGGAGGTGGCGTTTCTTGCAAAAGAAGTCTTGATGAGAGGAGAGTGGTTTATAGGAGATGCAGACATCAGAATAAATAACACTGGGCTACGTGGGCCAGTGAATTAACCCATTTTTCATAGTAGTTCTATGATCATTATGTTTTCTGAAAAATGGCTACTTTATTCTTTGAATAATGTATTTATTTAATAGAATTATTGCACTTCTTTTTCTGCTGCACCTCGTGATTGTTTCATAATGGTAACACTACATACAGCTCCATAACTCAGAGTTTTTATTTCCTTCTCTCTTTTAGAGAGATTCAAGCTGATCATGCTCAATTTTTCCACTATTCCCATCAAAACATATGTGGGCCGATGAGTCTATGTTTTAAGATATTTTCAAAATTTATTTACAACTTCAGACCTATATTTAGAAAGAAAATAAATTAGCATGGGAGGTTGGAATTCTGTTTAAATGGCAGCATTCCCAGATTGTAGGGAAATAAATTTCTTTTGGTAAAAGTGACAGAGCCATGGCAGATGGTGGAACAATATCTCTATGAAACAGAGAGCACTCTGTGGCTGATATGGCTTCAATTTGGAGACTTTGAGGGAAAGTGCTCAATTAGCATTGAAGCGATGGTCCTCGGCCATCAACTCTGCTGGACTGGCCACGTTGTCTGAATGCCCGGTCACCATCTCCCAAAACAGTTACTCTACTCCGAACTCAAGAACAGAAAATGGAATATTGGAGGACAGGAAAAGAGATTTAAAGATGGGCTCAAAGCCAACCTTAAAAACTGTCTCATAGACACTGAGAACTGGAAAGCCCTGGCCCTTGAGCACTCCAGCTGGAGGTCAGCTGTGACCAGCAGTTCTGTAGAATTTGAAGAGGCACGAATGGAGGGCGAAAGAGAGAAATGTGCCAAGAGGAAAGTGCGTCAAGCCAACCCCAACTGGGACCGCCTTTCACATGGAAACCAATGCCCTCAATGTGGGAGAAGATGCAGATCAAGAATAGGGCTCCATAGTCACCTACGTACCCACCACCAGGACACCGAACTTGGAGGGCAATCTTACTCGGACAATGAGGGATCACCTAAGTAAGTATCCTGTGAGCCTTATGACAGTCCTCAGCTTTGAGGTCCCTGAACTTACCTTCTGCAAAAAATGGAATAATTATATGTTGTTAAGTTCTTTTGCAGTTCAGGACTGAATGAGAAGTATGAAGGGTTCTTCTTAAACACAGCAGGTCCTGAAATAGCTGGTTTTGACTTGCACACCCTTGATAGTGAAAGATTAGTTGTAGGAATGTGCCTTTCCAAGCTCTTCTTCATCAGCCATGTGCTAAAGTGGTGACATAAAGTGATTCATAACATTGTTCATTCTGATAAGAACCTGTTCTTATCATTACAGTTACATTACAGTGAAAAAACAGAGTATCAATATGTCACAAAGCTGAACCCAATCATCCTAAGTCTCTCTTCTCTTTCTAGGCTGCAGTCTTATACATGCTTAACGAAAGCAGGCTTCACTGAACTCTTTGGAGTTTGTTTAAAACAGTGGTTCTCAATCTGTGGGTCCCCAGGTGTTTTGGCCTAAAACTCCTCGAAATCTCAGCCAATTTACCAGCTGTTAGGATTTCTTGGAGTTGGAAGCCAACACATCTGGGGACCCACAGGTTGAGAACCAGAGGCTTAAAAGGAAGCAAGCATGTATTGTATATAGTATGTTACTGCCAGTCTCGTAATAAATTATGGTAGGAAACCTATATGGAGTATAGAAAATACAATGTGTATTTATACATAGGCACCTAAAGTGATGTAGACAGCAGTTTTATACTGACAAAGAGGCAAACTCTTTACTTTTGAAAACATGATGAATGTTATTGTGTTCCATGAAGGCTTCCATAATCACTTTTCACAAAAGAGAGAGAGGAAACATACTAAGAAAAAGGTATCAAGTGTTTTTTGTGTGAGAGATGTGGCAAAGTAGAAAACAGCCTGTTGTACATTGATCATATGTGGAGAACATTTATTCTCAATTGGCCCTGTCATCATACAATATTTATTCAGCATGACCCTCATATTTGTGAGACTAAGTGTTGCAATTTTATTTATCCACATCCAACAAAATACATCCTCTTGGATAAAATACTAGTTTTGTGATTACTAATTCAAACTACTGTGAAAAATGAGCAATTGGACTGGAATTCACTTGAAATATATTTTCAGTTAGCCAAATTTGCTAACCTCCCATGACTACTTAATATGGTTACCATGTTCTGTTTCAAGATGTTTCTTGAAATTTCACATTCATCTATATGACTCCATCCTGTGTTACATGTTGACAATATAGCTTTTATGCTTACCAGGCAATGTGTGTCTTTATGGATGGATAGATATATCTTTGTATATACTACATTTATATTGATATTGTTAATTCAATTTTATAGTAATAGATTTAGCTAGACAGAATCTTGTTTCATAGAGGCATCATTTTTAAGAAACTGCTGAACTCCCAATCTGTTAGTTCATTTACAAAATGGTTGGACAAACTGATTCACAGAAAATCTGAATGTTTTGCACTTCTCCAAAGAATAATGTAATAATTCTTCAAAAATGTTCAAAGTGTGGTTTTATGAATAATTATCTTCAAATGTTTAATGAGTAAAATGCAATAAATATATTGATATTATTATGTAGAATTACAGTTTTGTGCTTCTTTAATGATATAGCAGGAATTTGCTACCCATTGAAGTAATTTCTCCCAACCTTGAGTTCTGTAAGGTAAAACCTTCAGAAGAGCCAATTCTGGCTCTTAGTATTAGAGGTATAATATTTAGTTGCTTAAGCAGTTTGATTAATAAATTAAAAAAACACTTCGATCAAGTTGAAAAGTTAGGACCAGTGTATAATATGGCAGGAGAGGGAAATCACAAGACATGGAATCAGTGAGATCTTCAGGCAATACAAAGAACCAATTTTGAATCCTCAGCAGCTAGCAACCAGTACCACAGAAAAGGAAACCAGTGTACATGAATGTTAATTCCATGCTCTCAGAGCACAAAATGCTTGTGTATGAATATCCGCCTTTTACTAATAACAAATGGGAATGCCATTCTTTCTTTATTTTGTTCATTTGTGCAAGAATGAACAAGTTCAGCCATTTTCTGTCTGGTTTGCAAGATGCAAGAGTTTCTCTCAATTTTAAACCTCTATTCGTGTTTTGGAATTTTATTGGGGAAATGAATTTAAAACCACACATGGGATTTCCTGCATAGAAGCGTAAAAAGCAGAATATATGTATTTTGCATGAAATGCACAATGTCCAAACAAAAAATGGGGGGGGGAGGGTGCTTTTTTCCACAGAAAGTACACACAATAAAACTACTTGTGGTTTGTCTGTTCTGGAATCTGTTTAGGCAGACTGTGCTTTTCATACAGTTCCACCAACATGTTAGAGAAGATTTAACGTGTATTCTAAATGCCTGCCATGGAAACTGACCCAAAATAAGGAAAAGGCTGGAGGAATTTTCCCGGTCACTTTTCATCATTCATTGCTTCTGGCTGGCTTAGTCCTTATGTATGCTCTGCTCAAAGGGAAACCCAGGCTGTATCATACTGCAGTTAGGCAGACATCTGTAAACTATGTATTCCCTTTGGCTCGTTATGTGCCAGCGAGACGAAGTGGCATTTCTATTTCTTTTCTGCCTGGAGGGAAGCTCTGGAAGGCGGCCATTTACCACAGCACAGCAAGGAAAGGAACATTAGGGAAAAATTGTATGTTCATTTTAAAAGGTTATTGGCTCAGTCTCCATTTTGGTCAAGGTATTCATTCTGCAGTGGTTTTTCTGTCCCTTGCTGGTTTAATGGAGTCTCCTTTGGCCTGTTCTTTCATGGTGGCATGTTCAGGAATGTTTATACTTAGTCTTTATAAGTGTTTAAAATTAAACGGGTGGGGAAGGTGGGTTGTAGATTCCCTTTTGGCATTGCCACACAAGAGAAATGGCTGTTTTGGAAACTTGGTGGAGGATCCAATAACTACTTGACAGGGAGGCTAATGTGTTTTGTGTAAAACATAGCATGTTTAAGAAGATTAAACAACATTTTCTGTATAAAAACATATTTTACAATCTTTTGCAAGACTGTAAAACTCTGCAAAAAATGCCCAAGGGTAAGATCTCATACAAAAAAAGAACAAAAAATTGTATGTTGGGGTATATGTGTATGCATGTGTTGTTAAACTTTAAACAGTGACCGTGTGTTTTCCATAGTCTGTAGATCGACATAAAACCAGTCTTCTGGGAAATAAAAGTAGAGATAAATTTTGTAAAAAGTTTTAAAATGTTTTGAAGCCTTGCTCTGTGATACGCGTGGCTTCTGTTTAGTTTCTTAAAGACCTTTCCTGGCTCCACAAGTCTCTGTTTCCAGTGATGTGTGGGGAGAATAGTATATGGCCATATTGATGTATGTGTGTGTTGGGGTGGGGGGTGGGGGAGATGTGTGCATGTAGCACACTGATCTTTTTTTCATTATTTTCCCAGTAGGCTTCTCCTCCACTCAAACCTTTTCTTTTGGGTGTACTGGGATCTGTTCCCAGTGTGTCCAACAAATTCTGTGTAATGTTTGAAATAGAAAAAGGGACAGGGAAAATTATTATTATTATTTTTGTGGAGACTGCATAGGCAGCTTATGTATGAGAGAACTAATGTTTCACAGATGAAAATAGAAATTAATTTTAATTATAATTTTCCTGTTCTGCCACCCAAGTTCCTCTCACACGTCCTTCTGGTCTTTTCTATCCTACATATGTTAAACTGGCCCCAACCAGTTTTTGTTAGAATATAAGGGTGAAAAAGTAAAAGTGGATCCTTAGGCTCACAAGGGATCTGTGTCTCAAATGCACTTTGGAAAACTAGGAATGTGAATAATTGTGGCGTAATCAGGCATTGGTAAATGGCACTCAGACATGAGCAACATCTTCATAGCGTTCCCAGAGCTGATGCCTAAAGCCTACCAATGGAACTTGCCCCGGTTTTGATTTCAGCTGTCATTGGAGCATTGTGCTTTAGTAATCTTAAGGAGACAAAACTGGTCAAAATGTTGTTTGTACTTGTATGTTTGGAATGAGAGTGGGAATTTTGCATACAGGTTTAAAATAACCAGCCAAATATTTGACTGTAGGTTTCTAGCTTCTAGCTACAGCATGTGAATATTAAAAGTATTTAATAAGATTTCCAAGTTGTCACTGCATGCTTGTGATGAATCCGAATTAAAACATTTTACAGGTACAAATTGCTCATCAGCTGAAACAATAATGAAAGTCTCCTGAAATCATATAATAGGCCCCATCCACACATGCTGTAAAATCCAGAGTGATGTGGATTATAAGGGGTGGTTGCTAGAAGACATGCACCTTAATGCCCACTGCAACATGCATTGACTTCAAAAACATGTTAAATGAAATTAGGAGAAAGTCTGAAATCGGTGATAAAATGTACTGCAGCTTTATTTATTTATTTCTCGTGTCAGGGCAGCCAGTCAATTATATTACATTTCTAACAGAACAAAGCAAACAAACAGAGAAAATACAAAATGTGTGAGTTTGGTAGTTGATTAAATGTCCTTTGACCAGTATCTGGCCACTTGGAGTGCTTCTGGTGTTGCTGCAAGAAGGTCCTACATGGTGCATGTGGCTGGGCTCAGGTTGCATTGCAGCAGGTGATCAGTGGTTTGCTCCTCTCCGCACTCGCATGTCGAGGACTGCAGCTGATCAGTGTATGGACCTCGCAGAGCAGAGCACTCATGTAAGCAATACCTCTAGAAAAAAATTCAGATAAAAGAACCAGATATGGTGCTTTCAGGAATGTAAAGAAACACATTTTCCCTCCCTCCCCAAGAAGAAATTGCTATCCCCTTTAGTTGAAAGAGCATCTCCATCGCTGTTTCTCAACCAATGGGCTGCTGTAGTTCAGCACATTTTTCCAAATAAAGTAAGAAAATAATGCCGTCAATCTAACATAAAAAGAGCTTTGTGGATTCCACAGGAGCTTTTTTATGGTTCCCGAGGTGTGTGTGGAGACTCTCCATAGTAGAAACGAATATCTTTAATCCATATTCTGATCTGGATTATGTGGCTGTGTAGAAGCAGCCTTGGTTGCATCAATTTTAGACAACTTTTTAAAAATTGTGAGGCTACTGTTGAAGAACACTCAGACACTTCAATTGATACAAAATGTAGCAGCTAGGCTGCCAACTAATATGCAGTATCATGGTCACATTGCTCCCAATACTGAAAGATCTGTCATGGATACCACTTGTTTGTTCAAGGTGTTTGTCTTAACCTTTAAAATTCTAAACAGCCCAGGGCTTGGCTATCCAAGGAGCTGCCTGACTCAGTTTAAGCCTTCTCACTTGTCAGGCACATGGTAGAGAGTTGTCTCTTGTGTCACTCCCCCACTCTGGAATGTACTGTCTCTGAAGTTCGCAAGAGAAGCTCTGGAATGAACTCTCTCTACATTTAGGAAGGGGCTCACAAAATATATTTTAACATTGGCTTTAAAACCAGATAATTTGGTTTTGTGTGGTTATAGTTTCATCTCCCTATTTTTTGTGTGGGCTAGCACACAAAGGTGGTAGATGTTTTAAAATCTGGGATGGAAATACTTTGAATTGAAATAAAGTAAATAAGAAGAAGGGTCTTCTAAGGATCCAAGGCAGTATTATCTTTTTCCAACTTTATCCTGTCAGATACTCCCTAGGAGCTGAGCTGGAGGGCATGCTGGCAGTAGTGATCTTTGTTGATTGACTCTAGCATCTGGTAAAAATTGAGAGCATCACATGAACAATATGCTGGCTCAATCTTTCCTAGGGCCCTGGCTGATTGAAGTTATTGGCTTCATAGCCTGTGCACTTGCAAAAAATAACAAAACACCCTTGCCACGCTTCACAAATGGAAGTATTCATTTTCCCTTTATGCAGAATGCTAGTATGCATTGTCTCCTTATACGGAAAATACAGGATGCAATTGTGCATTTTCCCCTTATACAGAAATTATATAGCAGCTGTTTAGGAAGAGCTGTTTCCTACATGGCTTACTAAAAAGAATTCAGAGGTAAAACACTGAATCCAAAAGATATTGGCAAGGAAAAATATAAGAGTTACAATCAGAACAGCAAAGAAGATATACTGGGAATCAAATTAAAGAGGTGGCAAAAGCTTCTGGGATGTGCAGTCAAACAACATCACAAAGCATAAGTGACACTTGCTCACATGCTAATGGAACCCAACACTTATTTATGATTGAACTTCTTTTGCAGTGGGTCCAAAGATATCTATAACAAGAAGTGCTGAAGGTTCCCATTCGTTGTATAGGATTTCACATACAGGAAGTTATATTGTTCTGCAACAGTCTTTGAATGCAAAGGTCCTAGTGTCCCCTCCCCCACAAAGCCCATAAACAACAGAAAACTTACAGGGCCACCATGATGCCTCTCTTAAGGCCACCTGGAATGTACCAATAATGCGTCAGGAGATGGGGTGAGCAATTTGTGCCCCCCCCCCAGCATATCCATTATTCATTCTAGGAGGCCTGCATAGAGGCATGATGGCGGCCTGGTAAGTTTCTTATTGTTTTCAAGGCTTGGGGAGGGGGTGGGGAAGGGGTGGCTGCTGTCTTTGCTTCTTCAGGCTCATTGAACCTGAAGAAGTGAATTGGGCTGTGGGGACAGACTCCTGGGATTGCAGAGGCATACATAGCCCAGGAGTCTGGCCCTACAAGACCTGGGTCTAATAGGGTATCTATATAATTTGTGACAAAGCAGGGTTTTCCTGCTTTATCATGAATTATTCCTCTTTTACCTGAGGCATCGTTTGGATGCCTCAGGTAAAAGTCCAACAGGGCCTGGGATATGGGTCCTGTCTGGAAGGGCCCTAACTCTTCCAGATGTTGTTCACATTGATGGTTGGAAGTGCCGAGGAAAGAATGTAGTTTAAAAGCAAAGAAGTTAAGGACAATCTGCCTAGGTAAATGGAGAATTGGGGAATACCATTGCGTTGTGTGTGAGAGAAAAACAAACTAAAAGTATGTGTCCGGATGCCAATAGCTGGCCAGCTCATTCCAGCTGCTCATTCTGTATTGTGCAATATTTACAAGTAGGCTAGTTCTCATTTATTTAAATGCATATTTATTTCTCTGTAATCACTTACCAATTTTACTTACCCACAAAGACCTTTCTCCACCATGCCATTCTCTCCTGTCCTGTAGACTCAAACAGATACACACAGATGCACCTTCATGCTGACAGTGACTGGCTAAGATAAAGTCATTTGGCCTCCACCTTTTTCCTTGCTCTTGAACTCTGCTTAGCTGGCCCCTGGAGGCACTTTGCAGATGTTTCTGTTTTGCAAGCCAGTGGGAACTTTGTGAGCAGACTTTCCTTGCCTTCGAGCAGCAAATGTCAGTCTGGCACAAATGCTCTTCTGGCGAAAGGTTTCTGGAGTTGTGAGCTTAAGGTCTACCAGGTCAAGCAGCTCAGTGGATAATTTGCTGACACACTGCTGAGCAAAAGCCCCATTATGCAGCACTGTGTGAGAACTTCATTTTCTCCTTCACAAACCAAACAAAATGTAGCTGCTGGATGCAGTGGTTCTAGTGTGCCTGTGCCTGTGTGTGTGTTTATCCTGGACTTTATTTTTATTTGCACAGCAAGGCTGAGTCTAGCATGGTTTCTGCCCCGGGCAGGCATACAAATACACATGCCACTCTGCCAGCAATGACTCACCCTCAGACTGTTTCACATAACTTGACACAGTGCAGACATGCTACTTATTATTAGCAAAGCGTCTGTCATTATGACAGGCATGGGTAGTGCGGAGGGAGGGCTTGCATTTCACACTCCCAAGCTCCCAGGGATTCCCTGCCAGTGGAGGCTGGGCCACCAAGTATGAGCCATGATGAGCTAAGTGTTGCTGTCATTGAGGTGCACTTCCCTCTATAGCAGTGAATAGCAATAGAGCCATAGAGAAGGGAAGTGATACTAGCACAGTGGTGAGAGGCAAGTTCCCCACTTCTCCTTTATACCCAAATAATATGGCCAGTTCATGCATGGAGAGTTCCTCATTGGAGAAAGTATAACCCTTGGGATTCATGTACCTCTCAAGTATGCTTCAAAGCCCCCCCCCCCCCCCCCAATATTCCTATCCTCATGTTTGTTTTAAAATGATTTTACACTTATAGGGGAGAAAAGGGACTTTTCTTTTTAAAAGTAAAGCAATTTTTAAAAGTAAAAACAATTATAGATTTACCTTCCCCTGACTTTTGGTGCAGTAGGCAGGTGGATTAATGAATAGACAGATTTATTGCTGAACACTGCTAATAACCTCACTGATTTCATTGTTAAAGTTATCGTTGTGCTCATTTGCAACTTCATTTGGCTTCATTTGGCTATTTTTTGATGATAGGTTTGCCAGATTGGTTCCAGGTTTGAGGCTCCTGTAACTTTAATCCTCAACAGATATTGGAGCTGCTCCTCACCAGTGGAGAGAGAGCAAGAGAGCATTCTTGGAGGAATACCAGGTTACAAGGACACACAACTCTAATGTTAATGGTGTGCACCAAACCACAGACCTAGACCTTCCTCTGGCAAGGCAATACCCATGTTAGAAGATTCTGCAGCTGAAAGTTGAGGTTTGGAAGGTAAAAGAGGATAAATACCTTCATCCTCCTTGATGGAGTTTTATGGTACCTTGTGCTGATCCAAGATCTGTTAGTTACACAAGTCTCATTCTGGACCCAATCTGGCATTCTACTCTATGAAATTATTGATGAGCTAATTAAAAATCACTGTTAAGAAGAATGTTTTTAATCATTTTGCTGATATATATATATATATATATATATATATATATATATATATATATATAATTGTATTGTTTTACCTGAATTGAAGGGTTCTAAGTTATGTTGTTTGTTAGCAATAATTAATTGTCTTTAATCTGTATGCATGATATTGTGGAGCTGTTGCTGTTTATACAAATGATATGCTATTGCTTGCAAATTAGAGGTGCCAAACTGCTTTTCTGGTCCTCAGATTGATGCCCATGTTTTTTTTTCTCCTTTCACTGGTCAACCCTTGATGCCAAATGAAGACATTTCTACTTGCTTAGTTTTGACTTTTGGTGTGATATTAGTGTCTTTAGGTAGAGATTTCTGAGAACCTTCGCTCCACTCTTTTTATATACCTGTCCAGGAAATACACTTTATTTGAAAATAAGCCACCCAACCAATGTGACACATTTCAGACCAACCAAACACTGTCATTTCTCACTACATTACATCTACAACTCCCAGGAGAAACATTGTGGTATTCACATTGTGAAGGTGCAACATGGAGAATGTGTGGGTAGTAGTATAACCTTGATAGAGGTTCTAGTGCTGGGTATGGGCTCTTCTTCCTATGTGGACTTACTTATATGTGTGCCTTTCTTTCCTTAGATCCTAAAGCTGCTGAAACGGAAGATGAAATTTCTTCAGAGTGGGAGGTTAAAACCATCACCAGTGCATTGAAAACATATTTGCGGTGAGTGAGGAAGTCCTATGATTTCCATTTCTGTGTGCTTAACTCTTTTTCCTGGGCTATCCAGTTTTACTTTTCATGAACAAAGCCCTTAGACTCCCAGCTCAGGGTTCACTTTCCTTGAGCTAGGTAGAGCCTCAGGTAGAGCCAACATACTCTGAGTCCCCAAATCTGAGTTTTAGTAAAGCCATAGGAAGTGAAAGGCCTTTCCCCAAGTCAAACTACTGTTCCTTGCTGCTCAGGATTGCATGCAGAAGTCTTTCCCAGCTTATCTGGCAAAGCCAGGGATTGAATAAAAATGTGTTTTCCACCGAAATGCTGTCCTTACACAAACATGTTACCCAACCACAATTTTCCACCTGTAAATTCCACTGGTTAACTGCTTACTGTGTTTACACAAGTCAGGTAGTAAACACTTAATTGTATGGATAAATAGATCTGGAAGAGAGGGGATTTCTAAGAGGAGTTGTGTTAATAAGTATTAAGCACCTTCTACTTGTACATGAGGATATGGTATACATTTTCTCTTACTTGTATTTTGACATTAACCGGCAGACAGCAAGTCTGCTACCATGAATCTTGTCAAGCATATGACTGATTTTGCAAATGCTTGCTGCAGTACATCTTAGTAAGCCTTGACAGACTCAGTGAGTTCAGCCTTACTCAGCTGCCAAAGGCACTTCTTTGCATTTTCCAGCATGCCATTTCCTAGTTGAAATTCCAGTGTCTAGTTTGCAGACCGCCTCCACTACCCCCATCCACCATAATAAATTTTCAGTTTCCCCTGAACAGAAAGACCTTGTTTGAAATCTCAGCACAAAAGTCTCTTTGAGCTCATTTTCAAGAATATATTGCTGCAGTATCTGAGTTAGTTTGCAACAATGCCTGATGTCATTCACCGAAGTTCCACTCCAGGAAATACGGGGAGCAGCGGAGGGTGGTGTTATGACGTTATGCCAGAAGCTCTGTTTCCTTTGGCATTTTTTCAAAATAATGAAATTCATTACTATTAATCATGCAGCAATAAAGATAATGCAGAGGATTTATTTGGCAGGAGGTCATAAACCATAAACACAGTGAGGGCTATCCAATCTCAGCTCCAACCTCTATCTATTTTTCTTTCCTTCTCTTTCAGCATTTTGACACATCAGTCTATAGAGCTAATACAAACTGCCCAGAATTGCTCAGGAGAAGATCCAAAATCCTAACAGAGTTTTTTTTTAGTTGCAAAAACTGCATATTAGTATAGAAAGATGTGGCAGAGACTAGATGTTAGGTAAATGTGGAGAGCTCAAACTCTCCCCATTTCCTCAGTCAGGGATATTTATTTATTTATTTCAGGTATTTCTATCCCGTTCCTTCTCAACCCCCGAAGAGGGACTCAGGACGGCTTACATATAGCAGCAATTCGATGCCACTACATATAACAGAGCAATATAATAATTAAAACAATAAATAAAACATTAATTAAAAAAAGTAAAAAAAAACCCCAGTATTAATAGCCATATCACCATTCCAGTCAATTCCATATCCAGTTCCATGTCCAAAGTGCTATCTATGTCTGTTGTCCAAAAGCCTGGTCCAAGAACCACGACTTTAATTTCTTCCTAAATGACAGGAGGGACGGAGCCAATCTTACCTCAGTGGTAAGCGAGTTTCACAGGCGGGGGGCCACAGCTGAGAAGGCCCTGTCTCTCGTCCCCGCCAGATGTATTTGAGACACTGGCGGGAGCGAGAGCAGGGCCTCCCCAGATGATCTTAAACCGTGTTTTGCTTTTACTTTAAAGCTATAGCTCATTGCTTCTTTAATTTAATATCTTACTTTTATTTATACTCCTGATCAGTTATAGGAAAGAATAGAATTAAATAGACTCTCTTTTCAATGGGACAACTTTTTGTTGAGTGCGGTTAATGGGCTGGAAATGTGTAGCTCTGCCCTAGATGGTGATGAATAAACTGATTGTAATGCCACATTTCCAGGCATATTAACCGTTCTTCATGAATTTTAATTGTTCTCATTTGATTATGCTCTCTTCTGTATTACAGAATGCTCCCTGGCCCACTCATGATGTATCAGTTTCAAAGAAGCTTCATCAAAGCAGCAAGTAAGTAATTTGTTTCAGTCTCTTAAAGGAGACAAAGTCCTCTGTGAACAACATCATACAACTTCTAATCTTTTAAAACTTATTGGCAAAGGTGAGCTTTTTGAGTAAATTCTGCAAATAGAAATGGAATTGTGACGTAGGAGAGCATATTAACTAAAACGTGCTACACCAGGGGGAAAAGGTGATAGGGTGTTTTGGAACCGTTTAGTTATCAAAAGCATATTTTAATAATTTGAGTTTTTGCAGTATTTTGTGACCTCACTTGGTAAGAGTGTATCAGTAAGTTTCATTGTGACTTCTGACATGACAAATGAAGCACACTTGAGATCCTTCTATTTTATACTTTGACTTGATGTCATGTAAAATGAGAAAGTGGTTAGATTTGCAAAGGCAGCTGGAAACAACTCTGCTTCTTTTATTTTTATTGTCCATTCAAGAAACATAAAATGATTTCTGACTCATTACAGATTTTTATCTGCCTGCTTTCTTGACAGTGAGTGATGGCAGGAGAATCTAGATTCCCATAAATCAGTCAAAAGAAATAACCCACGGGGTATTATCCGTATCTGTATTCTATGCATACTTGGCTCTGCCATCTCTCTCTTCTGTAATATGGAGCAAGGCAAAGGGGAAGTGTGCCCTCCAGGACATCTCTTCCCACTATAAATGGGAATGGGATTAACAGTTCCATAATCCCCAGTGAAAGAGCCTTCATCCCTTCTCTTCCAAGGTAATTTCAGATTGGATGAGAGAGCTGCCAATGATTGCAATGGTAACTTTGAGCACTTGTGAACTTTTTGCAAGCCACTGAATCAGGAACTTGTGAAATTCAACAGTCCAAAGATTATTGATAGGATATTGTGTGTCCTCACTGTCCATCTCTTATTTTCAGAACTGATTATTGTATGATTTTGCTAAGAGAGAAGTGTGTGTCTTTGTATGAGAAAGAGAGCAGTTGGGGAATGAATGAGAACACACATAACACTTAAAACTTCTATTATTGCTATCAATGTGAGCTGAGTCACTCAGACATTGAAATAAAAAATATACTGGTTAAATTGGTTGGGTTTTTTTTTTTGCAGTGCTAATAATTATTCATACTTTCATATTTTTATAGTTTGATATCTATTATAGTAATAAAATTAAAAGAAATTTAGAGATTTGTGACTGATGGATGAAAACAAAGGTACCTTTGTCTTGTTTCAGAACTGGAAAATCAAGAATCCAGAACCTCAGAGATCCACAGCTTAGTACACAGACTTCCTGAGAAAAACAGACAGATGCTCCAATTGCTCATGAATCACTTGGCAAAGTACGTGTTCTGGCTTTTCTAAACTTTTGCTTTTTTGTTTGCTAACCTCAGAGTGGAAAAATGGAGTAAACATTTAAGAGTATGGGCACCTTTCCTGTTCTCTGCATTTGGCTGAAAACCGTTTTCTGGCATGGCAGTTACCTACATCACAAGATGTTATGAACTTCTGGACTTACAGATTTCAATTATGCCATGAATTCATGTGTGCCATAAGAATTAATCTCTTATTTATAATTCAATTCATTGTGTCATTAGATCACTTGGCTGCTTGTGATGAATATCCTCCATCATGAAGGCTGGAGGGAAAAGGCTTTTCTTAATATCAGAACCGAGCATCCCTAATCAAGAGAATCCTTGACTTGCAATTTGCTCAACCTTTCATAGTCTCCATGCAATGTGTTTGTGATACTAGGCACTTGTTTTCTGACAGGCATGTGAGGTCAGGAATCTGTTCCTCATTTTGGAACATGTTGCTCCTGCAAGGAAGTTAAGTTACAGGAGGTTCAAGAGCAAGGTTAAGCCATGAGAGAAAATAGACCTTAGGTAGTACGCTGTGGTGAGTGTGGAAAGGAGCTGCTCTGCCTTAATTATAATGCACTTGCAAAGTACATCGTATTTATGCACAACTAATAGCAGGTATCAAACTGCAATATGCACCAAGAGGAACAGATTAGCTATCACATTTATTTCTTTGTTTCTCCCTCCACAGCTAATAACAACTCTGTAATTTATTTAAACAGGTGAATGTGTAAGTGATGAATGTTTAATCTCACTTTACTTTCTGAGTCTAGTTTTACAATCCCAGGTTTAAGGCTTAAGATTTCAGAGGGTTATTCATGCAACTTTGATGACACATTTAGCTTGGTTACATTTTGGCCAAATTATAAACAGCACTACAATCTGGATTCGGTCAGGGTTTTAAAAAGGGGAAATCTATTATTAAATGTTAGATAAAAGTGGGTGGTTTCATGGAACTACTTAATTTAACACTTGCACATCATATCCCATACAGCTTGAGACTATGCATACGATATGAATCACATTTATGGTGGTGTCTGTCAAAATGAGAAGAAAGGCACTCTAGCTTGTGCAACTCTTAGTGCTGCTGCCACTCCCCATTGCATGTTGCTGCTTCATATTCCTTGTTTTCAATCCCAGAGTTATATTTATGATTTATTTTTTGCAGGCATGCATATTTGTGCCATGGAGATGGTAGATATGTGGGTCATCTTGGCAAAACAGTTCTGCGTGACTCATGGAAATTACTTCCCCTGCTGTAACTGCCAAAAACCTTCCCTTACTTAGTATTTTAAGGGAAAAACATCTGGAATGACCAAGCAGCTTTTTATTTCAGTTCCAGGAGGTAGTAGGCTGAGTGTTGCCCTCTCTATATCAGAGGGCTAAGTAAACAAGAACAACAGAGAGTTAGGTTATAAATACCGCTCTGGAACAGTGCACAGATAAACAATATATAGAGGGTGTGAACAAACTTTGAAATGTGTTTTTAAAAGACAGAGTGCAGATGCTCTCTTTTATCTTATGTTTGCGTGGCTTGCAGCATGCTTTCAAAAGCAGAAATTTGGCAAAGATACCAGTGAGAAGGAAACTCTTTGGTTACTTCCATGTTTGAAATAATATGGAATACCAGTTTATTTTAACACCCAAGCCTTTCTCTGAAGTGCTATACTGATAAATTCATTTGAAAAAGAAAGTTTGTAAAATTAATTCTTTGTTACAAATGGGGAGAGTAACTGATTGGCCACAGTTTGACTTTTGGTCAAATCCAATATGATTGCTCTTATATTCTTAACCCAAAGCTACATGACTGCTCTCTTAAAGAGATGAAATTCCCTCTTCCTAACACATGTTGTTATTAGTTGCTGACAATTCTGCATTGGCTTCGTAGTCCTTTGAGTGAGAAATCATCAAATGATCTGTAAACTCAGGACCATGGCTTTCTTGATTGAATCTATTCATTTGTAATGCAGTCTTCCTCTTTTCCTACTGCCTGCCACTTTACCAAGCATTATGGTCTTTTCCAGTGAGCTTGGTGGCATCATGATATATCCAAAGCATAACAGGCTCATCTTGCCTTTTTGTGAGAGTACAGACCTGATTTGCTAAAGGTCACACTCATAGAATCATAGAGTTGGAAGAGACTACATGGGCCATCTAGTCCAACCCCCGTATTGCAGGAAAGCACAATCAAAGTATCCCTGAGAGATGGCCATCCAGCCTCTATTTAAAAGTTTCCAAGGAAGGAGCTTCCACCAAAGACTTGTTTGTCTTTTTAGCTGTCCAGGGTATATATAGAACTCTCCTCCAGTACTGTATTTCAAATAAGTTTATTTTCTTCTCATCAGCTTTTTTCACTATTTGGCTTTGTGCACTTGGTTTTAGACATGAGAATCACCTACCACGGATCCCTCAATTTATTGGGAATCATTTCTGTTTTTCCATCCGGCCATTCCCTTGGGCAAGTCTAACACCTGCATAACCTTACTTGAATCAAATAACATGAAAGATAAGATAGAATGTTGTGGAATCCAAAACATAAGTACTATAAAATTAAGAAGAACCTTCTGTTCCTATTTTTGCAAACTAACCATGGAGGCAGGAGCAGAGCTATTGTATAATTAGAATCATAGATACATAGAATAATAGAGTTGGAAGAGACCACATGGGTCATCTAGGCCAACCCCCTCCATGCAGGAAAATTACTTTCAACACTCACTGGGCAATTCAGCAAAATAGTGTGGTTGAGTGTGTCAAATGTTGTTAAGATAACATGGTTGCTCTCCATGCATCTTTATTCCGATAGAGATCATCTATCAGGCCACCACTGTGTCAAACTGGACCTGAAATCAATTTGAATCAGATCTGTGTTTCTTCCCATGGCATCTTGATTTCAAACATCTCTGTTGAATCCCCAACATGGATACTAGTGACTGGGTGCTGTTATAATCTCCTCATTTAAACGGGGTTTCCTGAGCCAGAAGATCTAACTAGCTACTTATGATGACCATTCCTTTCTCCGTTAGTCTTTCCATCTTGCCCTTTCAAAACAGCCACAACTGAAACTGAAATCTCCTAAAACCAGACTAGACAGTCATCTGAATACCAACACAGAAGCCATGTCTATTGTTCACCATATAAAATGTGGTTGGTGCTACTAATAAAAATTATTAATTATACTTCATCATCAGGATATGTGTCACCTTGAAGAACCATATAGGTAATATGCTGGGAGTGAAATCCAAGACGACAGGATAAGTGGAAAAGGCCTCTCAGAAGGAATCTGTAGGAAGGGAAAGTGGTGGGACTATATATGTGTGAATAAAATACAAATAATATGATGATCAATGTTTTCATGTGTTTTATATTGACATAATAATTCCTTATGTGCCTCTGTGTGGTAATTGATTCCACCATTGTCTCAATATAGTGATTAATCTCATTTTATAGAAAAAAGTATAGAGAGCTATTTCCAGAGAGTTCAGATACTAAATTTGAAGTTTGCAACACAAAAAAGCAGTATATTGATTAATTTTGTAGAAAGTAATACTTACATACTGATGTTTCTTCATACTGGTTTTTTATTGTAATTTCTTCCTAGGTACGTGTAGATCAGTAAAAGTGTTGTGTGTGCTTGTATTATTGTGAGTGTAGCTACTGCATTGTATGGATCAAGATTTAATAATGAATACACTAAATTTATAGATAAGCTGTACATATGAATTCGAGCACAGTGTTTTAGCCCTGATAAATGCATAAATAAAATCAAATTGAGACTCTGCCTGTAATCTCAAGGAAGGCTTCTGTGTAGAAGCTGTATATCCATTTTTTTAAAAAAAGGAATTTCAAATTATTTACAACTTTAGTGAGTGTTCTGTTTAGCATATTATCAACCCATTGTCCCAAAACTCAGAAAACGTTGAAAAACTGTTAAATTAAGGGAGTAAAAATGTACCTCAATAAACTTCAGAAGTAGAGTGAGTAAGGCAAAAGAAAGTTCCTTATATTTGTGTAATATTTCTGGTCAAATCAATTTCTTCCCATAGCATCTTAACATGAACTGTCACTGTTGAAGCTACATGTTAAAGGTGAAGCATTTTCAATTCTGCTTTTCCTCCCAGAACAGGATCCTCAGAAATCACGTGTAAATGCTGAGGCATAAAGATTTTTCACATGACAGTTTTTTAAGTGTCCATCATCCTTTTATCTAGCTAAACTATCCACTCTTTATGTTTCCTTCCTTCTATAAGAATGCCATCTATAGGAAAAATAGGGGACTTAAATGATGTCAACTTTTGCTTATCTTAAACGCAATTATCCCCCCTGTTTTTGAAGTGGCTGAACCAATTTGCTTATAAACGTTTTCTTCAAAGACAAAAGTAGGATTTAACATTAGATGTAGTAGTTCTTACATAATGAGTCCTGGCAGCTTGCACTGTGCGTAAATGTTCAACTCATTCACCTTTTGTGTAAGTGCAGGAATGTCACATTAGTTTGTTGAAGGCCAAAAATCTTCATTTGCTCTTAACTGAATAGGACCAATTCTGCTCTGCAAAGTAGGTCATGGTGGTGTTGAGTGGATGCCAGGCGCTGAGCCCGGGGTACTTGGAGCTGGAGCTCTGGAATGTCTCATGACTAGCATATGTGTGGGTAGCATTGGCAGGAATGAATACATTGTTGTTATCTTTTATTAGGGCTTTTAAAAATTAAAAATCCCATTGTTTCTTTAACATCAGATGGAGGCACAGAGCAGATTGTAATTATCTCTTTAAAAAGGAATTAGAGACAATGTGCTATAGCAAAATGAACAAACCTGAACAAAACAAATATATGGCTTTAAAATGTATTGGTGTAATCACTTCTGTGTTTATTTTCTGATCTCGTTTACATAAGCATTTATTACTTATCAAGTGCTGGGGGGATTTTTCAGTGAAGTTGTGGTGATATTAATTCAGTTCAGCCTGTGAAATAAATGTCCTTTTTAA